GTATTTCTACCAAGTCTCAGGAAGGGTGGAGGAAGAGGTCTGTTCCCCTGCATTTCTTAGTCCCTGTAGGAAATCTCAAAAGTGCGTGTGACCCATTCAGGAGCCAGAGTGTGGCGGGGAAGCTGGTAGAGTGTGCTCTGTTTCCCAGTGAACCAGAGAGGCAGCTGCTGGTCAGGAGGCTGGGGAGGGTGTAAAAGGAGGCTGGCAGGCTTGTCCTGGGGCCTGGAGGAGACACGGCTGCTCAGAACTCAGAGGAGTTCCTGGAAATTCCAGCCCCTTGTCTCCAGACCCCTGCAGACCTGTCCTTCCCTACACTCCTTACCTCTCCACCTCCCCCCATGGCCGGAGATGGAGGCATAGTGACTGGAGAGCTAATATTTGTGATATGGTCCTTTCTTGAAGCCACACAACACTGCCATCTGGGTCTGTGACCTAGAAATGGTGTTTCCCAGCGTGACCCTGTCAGGCCAGGTGGGGTCAGGGAAGGAGATCGAAACTCAAAGGGGTCAGTAATGTGCTTATAGTCTTGTGGACCCTCAGTGGTCAAGCTGGGTCACCCGAGGCCTGCTGACTTCTTCACACCCCATCTCAGACCCCAGACTGTGAGCTAAATGTTAGGGTCTCCACTAAGGGGGCCTCGGGAAGCCCAGCCCTCCCCGCTGGTCTCAGAGCGCCTGCAAGGGCAGCGCACACTTAAGTTGGGATTCCCTCTCCAGAGCGGACGTATGAGAAGGGGCTTCCTTCCAGCAGGGTCTAAAATGCACACTCTTCTTTTGTGGATGCCAAGGGCTGGGCAATAATGACGCTCCCATCAGGTGTGTGAACCCCTCAGCCAAGTACTGGCACCCCCCTGCTTGCCACATGCCTTTGTCACCTCGTGGAACAAACAAGGCAGTTACAGATGGCCCAGGGCACGTAGGACCATCTGGGAAAGAAGTGGCGATTCAGAGCTGATTTGCCACCCACCATACCCAAGTGCAGGCTCAGACTTTATGCCTGGCGTGCTGACGTGAGGAGCCTGCAGCGTGGCGGGGCGTGGGCTGGCCAAGGGGCATCCTTACCGGGTCCTGAAGGATGAGTAGGAGGTTGCCAAGTGGGAGGGAGGTGGGGATCTAGGAAGAGGGTACAGACTGTTTGGTATTCGGGGTTGGTTCAAGGAGGGAAGGAAGAGATTTTGGCACTGGTTGGTTAGTAAGTAAGGAAACTGGAACTAGATAGGATGCAGGAAGCAGAGGTCTCATCAAAGAGTTTTCAACAAGAATGACTGTCGGATTGGTTTAAAATTAGCTCTGCTAGGGGCGCCTGGGTGGCTCAGTCGGTTAAGCATTCGACTTCCGCTCAGGTCATGATCTCGCGGTTCGTGGGTTCGAGCCCCGCGTCAGGCTCTGTGCTGACAGCCAGCTCACAGCGTGGAGCCTGTTTGAGAGTCTGTGTCTCCCTCTCCCTCTGACCCTCCCCTGCTCACGCTGTCTCTCTCTCACTCAGAAATTAATATAACATTGAAAAAAAAATTTTTTTAAATAGTAGCTCTGCTAGCAGAATGGAGACTGAATTCAAGAGGAGGAAAACTGGGGTGCATGAGTAGCTCAGTCAATTAAGCACCAGACTCTTGATTTCAGCTCACGTCATGATCTCGGTTTGTGAGTTTGAGCCCCCACATCAGGCTCTGTGCTGACAGCTTTGAGCCTGCTTGGGATCTCTGTCTCCCTCTTTCTCTGTCCCTCCCTCCTCGTGCTCTGTCTCTCGCTCAAAAATAAGTAAACGTTAAAAAAAAAAAAGAGGAGATAGACTGGAGCAGAAAGACACGTTAGATGTTCCTATGTGGAGCAGATGTACAGTAGAGGCTGCACGGATGCCTCACAGTGAGGAGTTTCATCTACCGAGCTCTTGTTTATTGAGTACCTGCTGTACACACAACACCAGACTCCAGCCAGGGTGAAGACTCAGATCTCACCTATGGGATTTCAACACAGTCAATATAGGGAGCTGGTCACCCACACGTGGAAGGTTCGCAGGAGCAAAGAATATACTGAGGTTACACAGCGAGGAGCAACCATGGAGGCAGCTACCACTCCTTGGGGCTAGAGGAACACAAAGTTAGAAGTGGGGAAGGAACAAACCCCCCCCTTCTAGCGCCCCCTGTTGGCAAAGCCAAACAGGAAGCCAGCTGGCAAGGGAGCTGGGAAATGTGGTTTGCAGAGGTCTAGCCCCAGCATTTCAGAGCAGAGTCCAGAGGAGCCCCTGCCTCATTAAACAGATAGTGATGGGGGCCGGGGGGGGGGGTGCGGATATGTCGAGTGTCACTTGCAGCCTCCCCCTGGGGCGGCTGAGGAACCTAGAGAAAAACTCAGTTTGCAACTGGCTTAGTCTGAGTTGCTTCCATAAAGGTGGAGCCAACACACTCCTAGAAAGGCGATGTGGAGTTTAGAGCAGAAGTGATTAAACCTGGCGTTTAACCTTTAAAAAGCCTCTGGTGTCTGACAGCGTCTACGCATTTAAACCTCCTAATAGGACCTTCTGGAGCACCTCACCTCTCTCATTGAAAATGCTCCTTGTCTTTATTCCTGGTGGGATCGTACCTCCAGCAGGAAAGCGTTTTGGCTTTTGCATTTCCTGCTTCAGTGTGTTATTGATTTTTCTAATTTCTGATAGAGGCTAATTCAAAATATGTCTCTATTAGACCTCAGGGACATTTGGCCTAACTGCTCAGCTTTGTGCTATAAGCATCAGGGCTGACAGCTTTCCAAGGTAGAGGACGACAGACACACATTCGACCCCTCATAGCCGTTGACTCACCTCTGTTTCAGACAACTAAACAAAGCACGGCTCAGACCTGCTGGAAAGGCAAAGAACGTGCTCTGTGTGTTAAGAAAACCCACATGAGACAATTTCAGTCTGTTGTGTTGCGTGTGTGGACATGGTCACGATTCTTTCTCTCTTAGTCTAGACCGTACTAGTTTCATGGAGTTTGACCATATTCAGAATTGTGACCTCACCCATACTTGGGGCAAAAATGTCCTACCATCCCAGCCTTTCATCAAGTCCAGACCACCCTACTCACTGCTGCCAGGCATTTCCTACCACACAGCTTTAACAGCACTGCTCCCTAGCTCTAGCACCATCACTGGCTCCCTGGTGCTTCCAGAAGTAATTTCTAGAGCCTTATATAAATGTGCTTTTCTTAAACACATCTTTCACTAGCTCACCTGTTACTTCTTGCAGGCCCACCTGTTAAAATCCTACCAATCTGCAGACTCATTCGAATATCATCTTCATTAACCCTTTGTTGACTCTAGGTCTCCCCACTGCTCCCCATTGACTAGTGGAACTGTCCTTGCTTGGCCGTGTACAGTTGACTGTCTCACCTGTCCCTCACCCCCCATGTAGTGGGAAGTCCCAGAGCCTAGCATTCACGTAGCACAGAGTCTTCCTGGCTCTGCAGGCACTCACAGTGAGGTGTTGATTGGGACTGGAGCAATGGCTCAGGCATCTCCATGCCACAGGTCACCTCTTGGGAGCAGTGACCCAAGGGTGGGAAGTTACTGGCCAGTGCTTCCTATGGGAAGAAATAGAAAGCTAGGCAGAGGCAGGGTTTATAATATTTTACCTCAAGTTTGCTCAAGCAGCATCTTCATTTTAAGGTTGCCCCACAGACTGTTCTAGAGCTCATAAAGGAATCTTTTCCCTCAGAGCAGTGTTTTACAATATTTATGAATTCCCTAGGACTACAAAAACAGTCATAGATACTATGTGTCCAAAGGGACCCATAATGAAATATTTGAGACATGTGCCACTAATGGGTTAAACAACAGGATTTGGGAACGCCTGGGTGGCTCAGTCACTGAAGCATCCAACTCTTGGTTTCATCTCAGGTCATGAGCTCACAGTTTCATGAGTTTGAGCCACATGTCTGGGCTCTGTGCTGATGGTGCAGAATGTGCTTGGGATTCTTTCTCTCCCTCTTTCTCTGCCTCTCTCCCTACTTGCACTGTCTCATCTATCTCAGAATAAATAAATAAACTTTAAAAAAGGGGGTGGTGGTGCAGACCTTCTCAGGGCCTTTAACACACTAATGCACATTATAGATCTCCAAGAAGGGAGTACAATATGTGGCATTTCCCAAATTTATTTCGTTGTAGGAATTTGGGAGGGGGTGAAGAGGAACATCTTGAGAGTTTGGTGTTTTCTCATGAATGCACATCAGGAAGTACTGTCTTAAACTTAACATGGACCTTAGATACCCTTTTTGACCACAGGCTTTGAATAGTATAATCTGAAGAGGAAGATTTAGTGGTGAGTATAGAATTAAAGACTTCCTAGACTGGGGGCGCCTAGGTAGCTCAGTTGGTTAAGCATCTGACTCTTAATTTTAGCTCAGGCCGTGATCTCACGGTTTGTGGGTGTGAGCCCCACGTCAGGCTCTGCACTGATAGCATGGAGCCTGATTGGGATCTCTCTCTTCCACTGTCTTAAAATAAATAAATAAATGTATTTAAAAAAGAAAAGAAAAGAAAAAGAAAAAAAGACTTCCCTTGGGGCACCTGGGTGGCTCAGTTGATTGAGCGTCTGACTTCAGCTGAGGTTATGATCTTGAGGTTCTGGGTTCCAGCCCCACATTGGGCTGTGTGCCACAGCTCAGAGCCTAGAGACTGCTTTGTATTCTGTGTCTCCTTCTCTTTCTACTCCTCCCCTTCTCTCTCTCTCTCTCTCTCTCTCAAAAATAAGTAAACATTAAAAAAAAAAAAGACTTCCCAGACTGTATTTTTCCTTAGAACAGAGGCGTTCTGCATAGCAGTGTGAGAAACAAAGCCTAATGAAGCTTTGGAGGCGAGGTGTTCCTCACGGAGCCATCATTTTAAAGTGTGTGTTTCGCCATCACAGCCCGAAGGTTTAAATTACATAAGTTCCAAACGGATCATTAAAGCTTATGTGTAATTAGCTTAATTAGACACAAGCCACACAAGATGTCCCAAATAACTCTGGATCTCTCTGTTTTCCAGTTCCTTCCACAAAGGGCACATTCCGCCAGCCCTGCCTGCGTGACCCCCCATGGCACCGTTCTCCACCAGACCCTGGACTTCGACGAGTTCATCCCTCCCCTTCCCCCTCCGCCCTATTACCCTCCAGAGTACACCTGTACTCCCACAGCCGAGGCCCACAGGTGGGTCTTTCCGGAGCTGGTGGTGGTGACTGGTATTGACACCAGGAAGATGGGAGACGATCTGGGAGGTGGAACTGGCAAGAGCCACGCTCATTTTCAGTGGGGCAGTTGAGCCAAGGAGAGCAAACGTACGAAAGCATGTTTGATTAGAGAGCAGAGCACGAACAGTGAAAGAGATCGGACCCTGGCTTAGAGATAGAACATGTCGACTGTTATCGCCGTCAGGCAACAAAAGAGAGCCTAGCCCGACGTGAGCGGCTCTATTATGTTCTCCTGAAACGCAAAACCGCTATTGAGTAGTGGCCATTAGCATAACATGTAAAATGTAATTAAAGATTTAATCAGCTCTATGATTATTTTCATTTTAATGGACAGGGCCATAGAGTTTATTGAAAATGTCGATATCTTTCCAGAAAAAACAAAAAGACACACACAAAAGTTAAAACTGCCTAGCAAATTAGACTTTTATTTCACAATCACAATGAGTATTCAACCAGGGGAAACCTTGACAAGTGATGTTCTGATTGCCTTGAGAGGAACGTCAGCTGCCCAGGCTCTTCCCCCAGGAGTGATGGTACAATGGTTCTGCCTTTTCAGGGGCCTCCACTTGGACTTTGCTCCCTCTCCGTTCAGCACTTTGTATGATGTTGCCATCAACAGCCCTGGCCTGCTGTACCCCGCCGAGCTCCCCCCGCCCTACGAGGCCGTGGTGGGCCCGACCGCTGCCAGCCAGGTGAGGCCCAGGCCCCAGACAAGCCAGTTCCCTGTTACCAAGCCCTACTCCTTGCATTTGGTTTTCTATTGTTTTATTTTGGAGAGGGCACAAGTCAGGAGGGGCAGAGAGAGGGGGACAGAGGATCTGAGGCAGGCTCTGGAATGTGGGCTCGATATGGGGCTTGAACTCATGAACGGCAAGCCGAAGTCAGATGCTCAACTGGCTGAGCCACCCGGGTGTCCCTGCTTCTCGCATTTGTATTTCTCTCTAAGCCTTAGAGCAAACCGTGGTCTTATCAAGGCTTGTGGAGAGGAGGCAGCAGCCTCAGAGAGTGGAACCTGCAGAGACCCCACCCCAGGCCTGCGGATGCCACCCCAATATTTGTGCTTTTCCCCCTTGGCTCCTCTCAGATGCATGTGAGCTTAACACTGGCTAGTGTGTCTCGGGACACAGTGCAGAAGGAGCTGCTACAGGTTCAAACGCATGAGCAGAGCCCCCCAGGGACAGAGCCCAGGCCATGAACCGAGGACCCAGGGGACTCTGTCCTGTGCCAGCTGCATCCCTCTGTCACTGTCTCCTGGGGAGGTGAGGAAGTGGTGCTGGATCACTGGTCCTGTGTGAGGCGCAGCAGCCACAGACCAGGGAGGTGCCAGAGCCGCAAGTCAGGTGTAGCAGGCTTTCCCTGAGCTGGGCGAGCCAGGTGCTCCCACGACCTCCCGGTGCCTGACCCACAACAGGCACACCCTGGGGGTGTGTTGGGGGAGCCTCAGTTTCCTCACCTGTAAAATGGGGATCATAACAGTACCAAACACATGTGATGGAACAGGATGCTTGTAGTGGACCAAGCATAGCACCTGACACAGAATGGGCTCTGACTCAGCAAAAGCCAGTGGCCCTTTTCACAGCGGCCACTTCATCATGGTTATCATCACACATGTCGCTCCTGCACAGCCAAGGCCCCTAGCCAGCACAGAGAGATGTGAACACTCAGGGCACGCAGCACCCACCCGCGTGCAGGACGGGCTGCGGGGAGGCCGCAAGGTTGGGGTGCACATGGGGAGCACAGCAGTCCAGCAGAGAAGTAGCATGTGCGGGGGGCTGAGAAATCCTGCCAAGAATGGGGGCCGCAGCCTGTCCTGGGGCCCGAGCCCGGGGTAGATGAGAATGGGCAGAACCATGACCGGGAGCGACCAGAGGGCACCGAGACACAGTCCTGAGTCCATCCAGGTACACGCACCTTGGGTTTCTCACCAGGCATCCCAAGCCACCTGCCGGGAAGTGGTGCCAGCCTCAGACCTGGCCCAGCCCTTCTGAGGTCCTCACTGCCCCTGTGAGATCTGGAGCCCCGGTGGTGAGAAGGCCAGGAGGCCGTGGCTGGCCTCTTCGGGGCCACCCCCTGGGGAGCTTCTGGCCCTCAGGGACCCCTGCGGTGGAGAAGAGGTTTGCACCAACAAATGTTCAGACTCAGCCTCCACAAGACTCTGGAGAGAATCATACCTGCAGAGAGACCACATTCTGCAGGCTGGCTCGTTGTGGGACAGGGGAAGGGAACACATGCCTACCTCTGTGCCCAGCGGGACCTTGGCCACACAGTTGTTGCAAGAAGGATTCTCCTTGAGGGTCACTTGGTCAGGACTGCTCAGGCCCCCAGCTCACGCTTGCAGAGGTGACAGTGCTGACCACCTGAGCCTCTGAGCCTCCCACCTCTGCCTATCTTGCCCTGAAATGTCCTGGCCCAGCTCATCAGGCTGCAGACAGCAGACAGGGACTCGGCCAAGGACTCGTGGCCTTTTTTCTGTCCACAGAAACAAATGTGTGGGAAGTGCCTGAGGTCAGAGGGGTTCTTTGGCGAAGAGGCAAAGCATGGCTGAAATCTCATTTCTAAACTTACAATGATTGAAACCCTCTTGAATGTTTTAAAAAGCTGAGTGGAGAATTCTACCTTTCTGAAATGATTTCTTTTCCTCTTGATAAAAAGAATTCAAATCAATGTTATCAGTGACAACTGTATCCTGTGAAGTGAGTCATAAGTACTCTGAGGGGAGCCCCGTGCACTGCTGGAGGGTACTGGGCAGGGGCGTCCGATCCATATTTGGGGGGGCCCGGGGAGTCTCTGTGAGCTGAGGGCTCAGGCTGAGTGGGACAGCAGGTGGCCAGGCTCACGAGGAGGGACTGTGCAGCGTGCATATTCTCAAAACAGAAAGCCACTCGGGATGAGTCCGAAACGAGTGCAACATGGGTGGTGGGTGACCTCAGGGAGGCTGGTTGGATTCGGGGGCCACCAGGACATCTAAGCAGGTGTCCACAGGATGGTCTATAGCTTGGGGCCGTGGAGAGATGAGAGTTAGCCACAGACGTGGTCACCGTAGTCAGGGAAGCCAGAGGGGGGTGGGAGAGCTCCACGGAATGACGGTACTTTGCGGTGCTAGAGAAAGAGGCTCCCTCAGGACAGGCCACAGAGCAGACAGAGCACACAGGGGCTCCTGGAGGGCCTGGACTCACAGACACAGTGGTTCAGGAAGGGAGAGATGGGCCAAGTGCTGCCCAGAGGCTGTGTAGGGCTGACCCTAGTTCCCTGCTGGCTCGCCGTCCAGAGGTTGCTGGTGCAGGAGCAGCTGTAGTGAGGCACTGGGGCAGTGCCAGCAGTGGCTAGAGGCAGGGATGGGCAGGTGTGGCAGGGGTGTGGTCCTGTGCTCTTTGGACTCCAGTGGGCATCCCAGGCTTGTCAATCAAATAGAGATGGCTGAGTCCACCTCAGAGTTTTGAGTCAGTAGCTGGGGAAGGGGGTCCTGCTAAGAACATGCATTCCAGGAGTGCCTCTGTGACTCAGTCAGTTAAGCGTCCGACTCTTCATTTAGGCTCAGGTCATGATGTCAGGGCTGTGAGTTCGAGCCCTACATCGGGCTATGTGCTGATGGCATAGAGCCTGGTTGGGATTCTCTGTCTCTTTCTCTCTCTGCTCCTTCCCTGTTCTCACTCTCTCCTTCTCTCAAAATAAATAAACTTAGAAAAAAAAAACAAACAAATCTGTATTCCTACCTAAGTTCTAGCTCCTGCTGCTGTGTTCCCCTAGGGACACGCTAAGCAGTAGATCACTCTTGTGAGATGCTTAGCAAAGAGGAGAGAAGATAGGAGGAGGTAGTTATGGGGCATAGGGCATGAGGATGTTACCAAGGAGGCATGGAAGGGCCCAGACGGTGGGAGCACTTGAGCTGGGGTCGGGGAGGGAAGTCCCTAGAAGGCAGAAGGAGGAGGCTGATGCAGCATCAGATGGCCTGCTCTGCCCTATAACCAGCAGGGGCACCAGGCAGAGCAGTAGATGGACATAGAAACCCCAGGAAGCCCACAAGGGTGTGTGATTCTCCACGGCTGCCTTGGGGAGGAGGAACTCTACCCGCCCCCAGTCTGCTGCTAGTTGCCATCACCGAATTTCAGCTCCATGCTGGGGACAAACTTCAGCCTGTATCTTTGTCCTCCCATCTGTGAGCGGTTAGTCCATTTCTAGAAGAGATAATGCCATGGATGGTGAGTGATTCTGTGTACACTACGCTGTCGAGAGCAGAGGACTTCTCAGAGCCCTTTGCTTCTCAATCCTGATGACCAGGAACACCCACCTACCAACAATACTCCTCGTAATGAGAATGGGGAATGCCCACCTCCAGGTCTGTCAGTGACCCTGGATGGTGGAATGTGGCCTCTGCATTTGGGTGTGACATTTGATGCAAGCCATACTTGCACACCAGAAGGATATTGAGGAGTGTTTTGTCACTATTTTACTTTTTTTTCTGAAGCATAGAATACAGATCTTCCTTGACTTACAGAGGGGTAAGTCTTGCAATCCAAGAAACCCATATACTTGGAAAACATCCTTAATACCTTAACCTATGAACATGATAGGTTAAGTGTGCTCAGAACACTTCCATTAGCATGCAGTTGGGCAAAACCATCTAACACAAAGCCTATATTTTTGTAAATGTTTATTTTGAGAGAGAGAGAGAGAGCGAGCAGGAAGGGGCAGAGAGAGAGGGAGAGAGAGAATCCCAAGCAGGTTCTGACCTGCTAGCATGGAGCACATGGGAGGGGCAGAGAGAGGGGCAGGAGAGAGAGAGAATCCCAAACAGAGAATCCACACTGTCAGCACAGAGCCCGACGTGGGGCTTGAACCCATGAATTGTGAGATCATGACCTGAGCCAAAACCAAGAGTTGGATGCTTTATCAACTGAGCCACCCAAGTGCCCCATAAAGCCTATATTATAATATATTGTTGACTATGGTGTAATTTATGAAACACGGTACTGAAAACAAAGAACAGAATGGTTTTGTGAGGGTGTCAGTTGTCTAACCTGGTGATCGAGTGGCTGCCTGGGAACTGTGGCCCCCGCCTCTGCCCAACATCATGAGAGATGACCATACTACATATTGCTAGCCTGGGGGAAAAAAATCAAAAGTCAAAATTCAAAGTACAATTTCTTTCTAACTGAACACGTATCGCTTCTCTACCATTGTAAAGCCAAAACATCCTAAGTCGAACCATCCTAATTGGGAACTGTCTGTATGGGGGAGGCTAATACTGGGTCTAATATGACAGCGTTCTCCAAAACTATTGAGAATTCTCTCAATGGATATTTCTTTCACATAATTTTGGTGAAAAAAAATCCTTAAGGACAAAGGAAGGCCTATCTCCTATTGCATTGGCTCAGAAACCGCAAGCTTACAAGTGCCTACACAAACATCATGTGTGCAAGAAGTGCGTGTCTGTGTGGCCTTTCTCTGGGCTGGCTCTTCGGGGAGGGGGGCAGCATCTGGTGATTATGGGGCCACTGCAATCCTCCCCTCGAGGGGAAGCCTGCGCCTTGCTGGGCCCATTCTCTTTGACCCCGTGGTCTGGCAGCACTTTTCAATTCCACAGACACCTCTGGGAGTCTAGAAGTCAATGAAACTCATTCCCGTCCACAGAAGGAAGGCTGCACAAGCCAGCTGCCTCCCTCCCCTGGGGCAGTCCCTCCACCTGAGGACACCAAGGAGATGCCCCCCTTTACAGCACGATCCTTTGTCACAGGGCAAGGCGGAGGTTAATTACTTTCCCTTATGGACAAACACGGCATGTAAATTGTCCATCAGTACTCGTTTGGATAAAGAGAAGAAGACAGACTGACAGAGGAGCAAAGCATACATTGTGTGCGCTCTGGACAGGGGGCAGGAGGCCGCTCCTTTGGGAGAGCTTTTTAATGTGGGAAGAGAAAGCTCCCTTGACTGAGCACATTCATTCTGACCCATTCACTCTCCTGGATCAGCCACAGGCACGTTCTATTCTGACTTCGTTTGCAATGTCCTTCTCTTTCCCATGGTTTAAGACTGTAACTTGAGGGTGAGGTTGGAAAGAGTGCATTTCTTTCTATAGCTAGAAAGTTACTGAGAATTTGCCAGTGTGGTATTCCTGTGGATGACAAGCTTACATTTCCAAGGACCGTGGAAAACTGTGCTGTATTCCATAGGATACATAACCATACAGTGTGGGACCTGGTTGGGGAGCTTAAGGTAATGAAGGAGGTTCACTGACATCATTTGGGTAAAGATTTCATGATTCCGGATGTCAAACTATAGCAGTGCCTTGGATGAGTTTGACATTTAGAGTTGACATGGTCCAGCGGCACCTTGGGAATCTGAATTTGGTGGCAGTCTGGCAGGCAGGGGTGAAGCTTGAGACACAAGACTAGAAATCGTAAGGCAATGGACTCAGGAGAAGCATAGCCAACCACAAGTCCTAAAAGTCAGTATTTATAGTTTCAAATGAAATCACCTTTGCATTTAAAAATCTGTAAGCAAAGTAGCTTCAAAGATTGCTTTGGGACACTAGGCTAAAATCTTCGTTCACACTTTCTGTGATTACAGACAGTCACCTCCAAAGAACAGCTTTTTGTCATCCTGATACTAGCTAGTTGACCCGCCCAGGAGTGGGAAATTTGCCCCCAGAAGTAGGGCAGGCTTTTCACGCTGGGTGTCTTAGCCATAGAGCTTCCCAAAAGAAAGGGAGATGAGATTCGGTTTATGTGTGTAAATGCCAACTGACTTTTTAATCACAACTGGTCAATATAGTGTGTCTGGGAATAAATAAATGCAGTCTCCGAGGGTCCCATGTGAAGCCGTACACACAGCCTCCCCTTTCAGTGACCCTCTCCTGTAAGAGCTGTGTTATAAGCCCTTATTGCTAAACTGGAATTTCGACTTAAATTCTATACCACAAATATATTTCTTCTCCACCCTTTTCCGCTGTGTTTATATCTAATTGAAAACGCCATGTAAACCTCACAGCTATTTTCTGCACAGCTTTCGTGTGGCAAGGTGGCCTTGGCCATCAGGGGAGGCCAAATTAAAATTAAACCTTAGACACCCCACTTACAAGAAGTGATAGATACACTGCCAGGAGCTGTCTCCTCTCAAAACCAGATTTGACCGGGAGCCAGGGGGAAGCCGGTGATACTTCTACAAAATATGAAAGGAATCCAATTTCCTCCTGACCTTGTCCTATGGCGCATTTTATTCCTCTTGTTTTATTTATATTTCTTTATTACCAGAAGCTTTTCTTCAGTCATCAGGCCTTTCCAAGTTGCCACCCATCCCTGCAAAATTAAAAAAAAAAAAAATAAGGATCAGGAAGAGTATGGAAGGAAACACACCTTGAGGGTGTTGTTCCTTTTTGTATGATCTCGCAGAATACTCTCACAGGGATTTCTGACATGGGTCGTAGGCACAGCAATTTCAGTGAAAATGAAGGTGAGTGTTGGTGGCCATGTGAGTCTCCCTCCCCCAATTCCCTCCCTGGTCGAACAGGATCTCGAGCTAAGGAAGGAAAATAGAGCGTGCGGCGTTATAGATATATGGGAACAAAGGGAACATTTAGGCAGCTCTGGGTCTTCGGCACAAGTGGGGTCCTTGCCCCCCAAACCCTGTCCCAGGTTCCCCCTCCCACCAGGGGTACGGGTCACCTGGTTTGTGTTGGTGAGAGGCCTGCAGCCTGGTTGAAAGAGACGAAGATGATCAGCTGTCTGATTGAAGTAGCAGGAGACCAACAAGGGAGGCAGAGACGTTATTACCTGAACTGGAATGGGACCAATCTGCGGGGGCCCACCTGAACTTCCCGGGCCTCCCCCCGAGCTCATTATTTGCAAGCAAGTCCCCAAAGCAATTCTGAAATAACACAAGGATTCAGAAATCGTTTTTTGAGACAGCACAGAGGCACATGTATGCAGCGTTCGTGACACTCAGACACGTGGCCTGTGTGGGACCATTGTGCCCTAAAACAGCAGTGAAACAGATGTGGTCATAGTGGGAACCGAGTGTGCGAGCAGAAGATGGGCAGGTGAAGACAGGGCAAGAGAGCAGATGTGCCCCATCCCCACCCAGCCAAGGAAGCCTGGTCTTCCGCTGCTCATCTTCCCGATGTCCTGTCTGGGCAGAATGATCCATTCGAGAAGAAATCTGCAAGAGCATGATGACTTCCAAACATGATGCTGGCTTCACAGCCACTCAGTGCACCAGGACGGGACAGTGCCCAGGGCCACGGGGCCCGCGTTCACCCAGCACATGGCCTGAGTGGACCTGGACCCTGAGCTCAAGCTCAGGCAGGGAGGGAAGCCTTGGGAACAACCTTTTGATTCCATCTGCAGAAGGCAGAAGGAAGTGGAGCAAATGCACACTATGGGGGCATCTGGGAGGTTACCAAGGCCAAGACTGTTTATTAAATGCCCACCCTGTGACCAAGCTGTGCTGGCCCAAAGCATTACGGGTCTCTTGACTGTCCCCCCGTGGCTTTATTCTTCCTGGGTGTGGAAGCAAGGAGGAGAGTGGTTGGGAGGAAAGAGATAGAAGTGAGGTCAGGGGCTCTTCTGCCTCCTGCAGTGACTTCTGTCGGACCCAAAGAGTGCTCCCTGGAAGTGGAAGGTGAGTGGGCTGAAGGTGGCTGGCCCCTGGCCCTGGTGGGCTCTTGGGGACTGATCAGCACTCTGATTTCAGAAAAAGAAACCAGGCTTTGGTTTTGGCAGTGACCCTCTGGCCTTGGCATCCTCACAGCCTGACCCCATAAATTTAGGAGAGAATGGTAGAAATGTAACTACATGTCACTTAGTACTTCTTTCTAGAAGATTAATTCTGAAGATAGCCTTGATTTCTGGAGTCTTAATTTCTGGAGTCTGTTGTGCTGTGCCCTCCAGATGACAGATGACCCACCTGATGACTTGTTTCTTGCTGTAGCTTACGAGTGTAGATCAGCCGGCGACCGAGTCCAGCCCTGGGGACCCAGATGCCACTGCTGGCTTCAGCACACAAGGTAATCTTATCCTTTTGAGCATTTGAAATAAGAAGTTTCTATTTCTCAAAGCATATTTCCTTCCCTCCTACTACTTCCTTCTCTCCTCCTTCCTAAGACTGCCCTCCCTCCATTTCTTACTCTTTAAAGGGTTGGAATTTGCTACAGCCTCTGATGTTTAGTACCATATAACTTATCCACCGTTCCTTTCTTACCAGCAGCAGTAGTAAGTCAGTATACCTGGGGGACCTCATGCTTTCTCTGGTGGGATTTACTCCCGTCTACTCCAGCACCTTTCTACTCCACTTAAGGGATAGGAGTTTGAAGAAGTTCTTGACTCCATCTGGGATGGACCCTTCCTGGACCAAAAACTACCCGGCTCATATCCACTGGGCTCAGGAGGGGGCCAGCCCTGGGCCCCTGTGTGGCCCCTGGCTTTGAGTGACGGGTTGGAGAAAGGACACTAGCAGTTGTGTCCTAGAGGTCATTGAAGGAAAAATGTGGAAAGTCCAATCTCACGTGTGGTGGGGTAGGGAGCCACAAGGCAAAGCCAGAGGCAAGGAGGTAGTTGAGGTGTCAGGAAACCAGACAAGCCTGAGTAGAAGAGGGAGCACATGGGTGGGGGCTGGGTGTTTCCATCTTCTTCAGATCCCCTAGGTGGGCTCATGGGGGGAGGTTTGTTCAGAGACAGAAGTCAGCTAACTTGTGAAAGAACTAAGGGTCCCAGAAAGGACCCCCATTATAGTCCCGGGCTGTCTGCCCTTGATCCCAACTCTTAGTTAACATCCAAGAAACAAGAAGGGGCTAGCCTTCTGTGAGGACATCTTTCTGGGTTGTACTAGGCCTGGTCTCTGCAGTTATGGGATTTGGAAGTGACCTTGTCTTTCCCTTGATGGCTCCAAGCAGCCATTAAAAGCTGTGTCTAAGAGGTGGTGTCCTGTGACCTTCCAAGAGACTCCTTCAGGGCACAGTTTGGCCTGTACACAGGCCAGTGCATTCTAGACCTGCGCTGAGGGGGCTCCCCCTTCCCCATTCCAGCCCCATCACTCCTGAAAACACAACTTCTGCAGGAAAGCATGGTTGGAAAGGCCAAGCAGCCTGGTGGTTCCCAGAGCCCAGGGCAGGTAGAGATGGACAGAGAAGTCAGGAATTCATCCAGGGTGGGCCTTCCTCACTCCGCAGGCTCTAGATAGTTAACTGGGCTTGACTGAGAAGCTTGGGGCTGCTCCGAACACTGACTCCTGGCAGAGGGGTCAGGCCTAGAAGTGGGCAGGAATATATAGAAAGTACTGACAGAGCTCATAGGACGGCACGCCAAGCAGGATTCACTTTAGAAAAGATGCCTCCCACTGGGTAATTTCTGTATGGGCTGAGGTTGAGGTCAATGTCATTTTCGGGCCTATGCATATCCAGCCGTCCCAGATCATTTATTGCTTTTGCACATTTGTCAAAACTCAGCTGGGCATAATGGCACAGGTCTATTTCTGGACCCTCTTATCCTGCTCCATTAATCTGTGTGTCCATCCCTCTGCCAATAGCACCCTGTCCTGGTGGCCATTGCTCTGTGGTGAGCCTTAATATGGGGCAAGCCCAACCTCTGCTTTGCTCCTATTTGTCAAGATTGTTCTTGGTCCTCTAGGGCCTATCTATTTCCATGTCACTCTTAGAATCCACTTGACGGTGTCTACAAAACCTTTAACTGGGAATTTAATAGAAATTGTATTCAGTTTTTTTTTAGTGTTTATTTATTTTTGAGAGAGACAGAGTGTGAGCAGGGGAGGGATAGAAAGAGGGGGAGACACAGAATCCAAAGCAGGCTCCAGACTCCCAGCTGTCACCACAGAGCCCAACGAGTGGTTTAAACTCACCAAGCGTTAGGTTATGTCCTGACCTGAAGTCAGACACTCAACGGACTGAGCCACCCAGGCGCCCTGGAATCGCATTCAACCTGTAGAGCAATTTGGGTAGAATTGCTATCTTTGCAAAGCTGAACCTTCTCATGTAGGAACATGGTACGTCTGTCTCTCTGTTGATCTGGATTTTCTTTTATTTCTTTCATCAGTGTTTTAGCATTTTCAGAATACAGATCCTGAACATGTTTTGTTAAGTGTATACTTAGGAGTTTCATTTTCTGTGGAGCATCTGTAAATGGTATTGTGTTTTTACTTTTGGTTTCTGCCTGCTCATTGTTAGTACATGTGACCAACCACGGTACAGATGTGATTCATTCTTGTGTGATTGTATGATTCATTCTTGTGTGATTTCCCTTGCATCCTACAACCTTGTCAAACTCACGTATTTAGCTCTAGAATTTTTTGAGGGCAGCGGAAGGGGGATAGATTCTAGTATTGTTTTTCATCTATTAAAATAAAATAATACTGAGGACATGGATGCTGGCAAGACCACAGGGAAGATGCTACACCCAGTTCTGACTGGCAGCTTGGAACTCAGCCCACCCTTTTGACAGAGCATCTTGATAAAGAGCCATAAAATGTTTATGCCATTAGATGTGGTGATCACACTTCTAGAACTCCCCTAGGGAATGCAAAAAGCAAACACATAAACAAACAAACAAATAAATAGAAAAGAAAAGAAAACAAAATCATAGGCATGAAGATAACTTGTGTTCTTCATAAGAATAAAAACTTACAGGGACAGCGAAGTCCATTGATAAGAGTCAAGGAAAATATATTACATATGCTAAATATATCATCACACATTAATTAGGAGAAATGCTTGTGATCTATTTAGGTGAAAAACTGCAAGTCTACTGGGATTATTACTACTGTATAAACAGGCTCACAGCACAAGCCAGTGAAGGCATACAAGAATGAGCTACCCGTCTTGGCCTATGAGCTTTCCCTGTAATGTTACCCTAATCTTATGTTTCCATTAATTATAGATATTCAGAGCTAAGTCACATTTCTCTCTCTGACTATTTCCCTAAGGAACCCAGCCATTGGATGGATTGTCACTGACTTTAAGAAAATTGGGACTGGGGCACCTGGGTGGCCCAATCAGTCGATTGATTGAGTATCTAACTCTTGATATTGACTCAGGTCATGATCTCACAGTCTTGGGATCGAGCCCCATGTCAAGCTCCACTCTGAGTAAGGAGCCTGCTTGGGATTCTCTCTGCCTCTCTGTCTCTCTCTCCCTATGCCCCTTTCTCTGTCTCTCTCCCCACCCCACCCCAAATAAACATAATTTAAAAAAAGAAAATTGGGACCAAGGGTATATTCTTATGTCCAATTTCATAAAATAATATATATTAAATGCATACAGATTTTTTTGTATGTCAATTATACCTCAATAAAGCTGTAAAAAAGTGAGAACTCTGAGGTCAAGGGGAATCAGCAGGAATAAATGTTCTTCAAAATAGTTTTAATATACTGCTGTGTAATGTTGATACAGTTAATAATTATACTTTCTGGTTTGAAGTGTTCTAATGATACAGGGGAGTATTTCTTTTATACATTTATACATTCAGCTTTGAGTATTTGCCCAACCAATTCCTTAGATAAACTCCTAAAAGTGAAATTGTTGAGGCCAAGGAAATGTGTATTTTAGGTTTTGATGTGTTGGCCACATTGCATTCTGGGAAGGTTTTCTTGCTGGTTTGCACACCCACCAGCAGTGTTTGGGTGATACCCCAAGGCATCGTCATTCCTGGTGATCTATGTCACCCTTGCAGGTGACTGTGGTACACACACAAGATTGAGTGTGAGCAGCTCTTTACATGTTTAGTACCTATGTGTTGGTCAGTTTTGGGTCCACTTTTTTGCAGTGTTGTGTGTGTGTGTGTGTGTGTGTGTGTGTGTGTGTGTGTTTTGTAGATTTATAAGAAGACTATTTGTTAAATAGAGACATTCTCTCACTTTTCCTATTAATTGTAGGGATGCTTTCCCTGTTAATGATGCCTGTTGCCATATACAGTTTTACAATTTTTCTTGTTGTCAGACTTACCAAGCTTTTCCTTTCTGGTTTCCATCATGTTGACAAAGTCTTTCTCCACCCCAAGTGTAGGCTTATTCTCATATTTTCTACCACTATTCTTCTACTATTTAAAAAAAGAAAAGGATTAATCATTCTGAAGAATTTTTATTTAAAGTTTATTTATTTATTTTGAAAGAGAGAGGATTAGCAAGGGAGGGGCAGAGAAGGAGAGCAAGAGAGAATCCCAAGCAGGCTCCACACCATCAGCACAGAGCCCAATGCAGGGCTTGAACCCACAAACCATGAGATCATGACCTAAACAGAAATCAAGAGTGGGATGCTTAACTGACTGAGCCACCCAGGTGCTGCTGAAGAATTTTTTTTTGCATGTGATTTGTGAGGTTCAGTTCATCTTTCTGTTTTCCAGATGAACTGGTTGTCTCAAAGCATCTATTGAGAGGGCAGGGGTAGACAGTGGAAGCTGGGAAAGCAAGAACTCTAGAAGTGGGCTGCTTCCAACCAGCTCCACCACTCAGTGGCCTCACGACTCTCTTCCCCTGAGGTCTCTTAACCATGTCTCCTGAGTGGTTAGCCGGGTGGGCTGTGAGGATTACGTGGGAGGTCACCTGTAAATCCCTTGGCATTGGGGAAGCTCCCAGACACAGAGCGCACTAGAAACAGAGAAGCCTCCCACAGGACCCACAGGAAGGAATGGAAGGGAAAGACTCCAAAGCTTCCCACCTTGGAATTGTTTAGGCTCCTGTGAGTCTTACAAAGCATCCCCCAGGTGGGCCACTCACCTCAAAAATCAACTCCTGCGGAGTGATTTGCCTCATGGCAGGCAGCTCTGACGTTCGTGATGGGATCAAAGAGCAGAGGGAGCAGTGCTTCCCAAGCCTTAAAATATGTGCACACATGTCCCCCGAGATTTTGTTAAGACAGATTTTGATCCAGTCCCCCCACCAGGTACCAACCTTGGGGTAGTGAGAGGCCGGAGCCCGACCTGACCAGCATCACAGGGATAGAGCAGTGGGTTGCACACTTAGGGGCCATCAGAATCCCATGAAGTCTTGTTCAAACTCCCATGGCTGGGCCCACTCACTAGTTTCTCATTCATTGGATCTGAAAGAATTCCCAGGCAATGCTGATGCTGCTGGCCTGGCCCCCACATTGAGGATCAGGTGGGCATCGTGGGGCTGGTTCCTCCACCTGCCTGACCAGCTCATGACTCGCACACTAGCCCCCAGGCTGTGCCCTCTGTGTGGGGCAGGCAGGTTCTCAGGCCCACACGGACCTGGCTAGGATGCCCTGATGACCCTCTGAGCCTTGTACTTCTCCTCATGGGACCTGTTCATAGAACACTCTGTGAACTCCGCCTTCCTATACTTCAAACCCCCCGAGGGATGCCCTAGATGGGAGATGGGGCTGATTTCCAACTTTCAGTCTTGCAGAGTATGAAGGGTGTACGTGCCCCTATCCCATACCCCTTCTGGAATGATTCTTGGGAGATCATCTGGTGTCCCCCAAAACCTTTCTATACCATAAAGCATTTGTAAACCTGCTCAGTGTTCACACGCCCCCAAGATTACAGGGTTGTCTAGATTTGGTGTTGAAGGGTGGACTGCTCACTCAGGCCCCCTGCAGGGAGGTGGCTCCACAAGGCTGAGATTTTCACTCTCAGCTCCATCAGGAGCATGAGTGAGCATTGTGCCTGTCTTGGGTGACTCTGTGGTGGCCTGTTGCCAGAACTAACACTGGGTCCCTTGCCTTGCAGAGCCCGCAGATAGCTCGAGCCTCCTGGAATCCGAGGGTGCCACTGCACGAGGCCTAAGCCCTGAGGGCCCCGTGGGTGCCTCGCAGCCCCTGCCACCTGACCTGGAGTCCCCTGAGGGTCCTGACCAGAGCACGCTGGCACTGCCAGGCCCTGGGCGTGTGACCCGCTCCACCAGCGACCCCACTTCATGCGCATCCAGCATGGCAGGTACGACTGGGCCAGCCCCCTGGTGCCCTCAGCATGTGCTCTGCTCTGCCCTGGACACTGCAGGCCTGAGCTGAGAGAGTCAAGACCAGGCCCTGTGACCTTGGCTCAGGGGCCACTTTGGAAATGTGGTCTTAATGCCCAAGGGCCCTAGGGAGGGGTGGACAGTCAGGGGCCTCTGTTGTGCACCCATCAGGCTTTCTACTCTCTGGATTGTGAGTAAGGGGAGGAGGGATGGAAGGTTTGGGGTGATGAGAGCCCACTCAGGGTCAGCCAGCCCCTGATATTAGCCTGCTGGTTGCCCCCCAGCTCTGGGGCCCAGGTGGGCACCCAGGTCAGGCAGATGACCACTGGCTTTATCCATCCATCAGCCAGGACTAGCCTGGGCTCCAGCCTTCTGGGAAGTGCCAGTGCCTGCTGCATGGTCTGGTGGAACCCAGGGCAACATAAAGCATGGCTGTATCTCAGTGATGGCGCTAGGTGGGTGGGGCGTCCTCCACCTGGAGCCGCTCCAGGCAGACAGGGGTGTGTTTCCAGGAGCATTTCCTGGGTAACCCTTGGCAGCACTCCATGTGTGTGGCTTGAAGCTCAAGTCAGAATCACCCATGTGACTCGAGTTGGGCAGCGCCCCCCCTGGGCTGTAGGACCTGGCATCAGAGTTCCTAGATTTGCACTTCACACCAGCGCCCCAGAGGGCTTGTAAATCCTGAGGTTGGAGAACCTGCACTTCCTCCCATGATGCTAGGCTTTGAGCGGGGAGGACGGCCGTGACTTTGCCGGTAGAGAATGGTGGGAATCATGGCTGCAGGGCCATTGGACCATGCACTTCATCCAGTGGGACTGTAAGAACCCCAAAGAGGCCCCCTGGCTGCCTGGACTCAGTGGTCTTGTCCAGCTGACCTCCAAATACACCAGACCCATGCGCCAGGAGAAGTGTATCCCTGGAAGGAGCCAGGAACCCACAGAGATCATTGCCTACCAGTCCTCCATCTGGCTACTTCCCCTCCCATATTCAGTTCCCAGCTCACTAGACAAGCCTCCATCAGACTCTTCTCCTGAAGCCCGCCTCCCAGCACCCCCACCTGCCGGCCCTCCCCTGTGCTGGGTTTTCTAAGCTCAGCCTTCTCTCCTTCCTTCTTATTACGTTTGCATCTACTCTGTGGCCCCCTGATGGCTTCCTTTGGCCTATCCTCCCCTCAGTGAAATTCGGACTCTACAAACCATGACATTTTAGGGGTGAGGATGAAGAGAAGACAAGTCACAGTGCCTTCTCTGCATCCCCACACCACCCTGTCGGCCGCTTCGCAGCTCCACAGGATAGTTATGTTCCACGTGTCACAAGCATGTGCCTCCCCAGGGTCTCTGGGGACCTTCAGACGTGGGGGAGGTATTCTGATGAAACACACTGGGTTTGCTTGTGGCACTGGTCCTCTGCGCTGTGCCCGGCCGGGTGACACCACCTGCCAGCTGTGGGGCTGCTTTTGTGTGATCCGTGCACAGGTTTGTGTAACTTTACGAGTTTTTCTCTGCTTGTCCAGCATCTAATACCTCTTAGCCATAGAAGGGTGATTGTGGTGTTACCATTAATGCCTTCTTCCCTTTCATGTGTGACCTGAGTTCTCTCTCTGATTAAGGCAACGCCTCTTCGCATCCGCCCTCCTGCAGCCAGGACCTTGAAGCAGGACTGGCCAGGGCTGCTCTGGGAACCGGTGAGACACTCCCTTTTCTAAAACGCCTCAACACGTGCTGCAAGATGGGGGGCTGGGGTTGACTGGTGGTCTTTGTCTGGGTCCAGCCCTCACAGTGCCACCCGGGAGCACGGGAAAGGACGGCCTTCCCTTCCCTTCTTTCTTGAGAGGATGTGTTAGAGCCTATAACTCACCTAACATGCACGTGGCTGCTTGTTTCACTGTATTTATGAGATGCTGTTTTCAAGGGAGATTGCCCTCATGTATGAGGTTTTCTTTACAGTTTCTCATACTTAATTATCAGGCTTGCTCCACTGCTATCAAAAATAGGCCAGACCACCCAGAATGTGTTTCCTCTGTGTGACTTGACACACACTGTGGGCAAGTCAGGCCTTAATCTGGTCCTCAGTGAGCTGGTCACAGGAGATGCCATCAAACCAGTGCTTGCTCCTCGGGTCATCCAGAGCAGCCCTGGGCCCTGTCGGGAGCTCGTTCCAGGTCTCCTGGCCTTGGCTCAGTGGGTACTGGGAGCAGGACCCTGATGCTCAGAGCATCTGAGGTGGCTCCTACCTACCCTTGACCCGGTGGGGGTGCTCTCATTGCCCCTCTGGCACTCCCAGCTCTGATCTTGAGGACGACCTGTCTCTAATGCCATTGGACCCATAGGGGCAAAGCTCATTGAGGCAGGGAAGGCTGAGCTCAGGAATTCTAGCAGAGAGACAGATGAAGGGGGATTCCTACCCTGCACCTGCCCTTCTCTCCCTGCCTGCGTCCCATTTTGCACTCTCATCTCCAGTCCTTCAGCTCCAGGGGCAGCGGTGGCCCCTCTAGGTTAATGACAGCTCAACTCAGGGCTGAGAGCGGCCAGGCCACACCAGGGATGAAGGGACACAGGACACTCCCAGGGCGCCAGCCCAGGACCATGGAAATCCCAGCAGAAAGCGTATCCCAAGCAGCCTTGTGTTTGCTTTGTAGAGAATTCACTTAACAGCTGCCTTCTGTTTTGTTTTGGTTGTTTTCAGATTTTATCTTTTCCCTTGATTTTTAGTTTCCCTATCTCACTCTGCCATAGCCGCCTGTGCTTGTCGGCACCGGCTCTCGCCACCGGGACAGCCAGATCCCCGGAAAACAGACCACCGGTTAAAGCCAGAGGCCTTACAGACAGTCTTGAAAGAGCGGCCACGCTCATTAGTGGATGGCAAGGCCCATGCAGACACCAGGGTTTTGGTGGCTAAATTTTTGGAACACTCGAACTGTGCCCTCCCTCCCGAGGTGCAGCATGTGGTGGGCACCTTCCGCCCAGCGGTCATGTCTGATGAGCACCACGTGGACGAGGCCATCTTTAGCGCCAATGTTCTGGACCAGGTGTGAACAAGCCACAGGTCCTGACACGGACACGGAAAGGCCTAGGCCAGTGGCTGGAGGCCACCGTGCATGCAGGGAGGGGCTGAAGCCTAGGAGTTATCTCCATGTGGCTCAAACGGGGAACTGCCATCCCTCTCTTGTGGAGGGTCCAGTCCATTGTTTTCTTGGGGATGACACTTCCTACCTACTCTGGTGATGCAGAGAAATGACTCTCGTGGCCATCGTGAACTCTGGGTTTTTGTCAGGCATGTAGCACCTGACATGTGCTCCAGGAATTCTCCTGGAACTGGAGACACAAAGCATCTTCAAAATCACGGCCATCGAAAAGCAAGATTCTCCCTCACCTCTGATTTAGTTGAGTGTTTAGTGGATAGAGGAGGACATTGAGTAATGAGACGATTTTCTTCTATGATTTGTATCACTCACTGGTTGACCCTTTATCATGTGCTAGAAAATGGGTAATTCCAGCATGGACGGCAGCCCAGGCCCAGCTCTCTGCCCGCAGGATGCAGGGCTGTTGTGGAAACAAATCATTACAGGGGCCTCACCGGAGCCCAGGCCACCTCCAGGCAGCAGGCCTGTGTGGCAGGGAGCTCTGCTGGACGCACGCCCTCTGCCCCTCTGTCACCTAGTCTCCTGGGCCTCCTCTCTGTACCCTCCCTTCTTAGGGTGGCCTCCCCGCTTTCTCTCTGGCTCTCTGTCCATGGTCTCCTACTCTGCAGACACTTTTGGTGAGCCCCTCTGGGGGGGGTCTTCCCTGTGTCTACCCTCCCCAGGATGGCCTGGATAGGTGGAGGTCTGGGGGGGAAAAGGCCTGTGTCCCAGGATCTGTGCACCTCCAGAGAAAGCAAGTCTCTGATGACCCAGAACAGTCCCTTCCCAGCCAGGCAGCGGCCACATCTGATTGGAGGATGCAGCTTGTAAGTCGCATCTTTCCATAAAACACCCACTGAGCTGGGTCCTGGATGCGGGCAGGCCCAGCCTCTCTGCAGGGGCAGCTTGGGTGTCTGACTTTCTTGCCCCCACCCCCACCCCCCACCCCTCATGTTCTGGCAACATTACCAGCAGCCGCTTCCCAACAATGGCCCTGGAGCAGCACTGGTCTTCAAGAACTTTCTGCAGAAGTAGGAATGCCTGTCTCTGTGCCCTCCACAACAGCGGACACTGGCACCTGAGCTGTGGCCTGCATTGAACAAGGCAGCCCAGAGCGCACACATCTGAACCAAGAGCCCAAGGGCCTGGCATGTGGAGCGCAGGGGGAGGACCCGGCGACTGCCCATTGCTGCTTGGTGTCTGGCAGTCTAGGGGCCGCGTGCTTTCCCTCTGCCCTCCACCCCACTGCAGCCATTGTGCAGGGGGTGCGTCTGTGTGGTGGGAAGCCCAGAAAGGTGTGGCAGGGAGGGTCTGCTGCCCAGATGCCTGAGCCCCCAGGAACTGCGGTGCAGGAAGCCTGCTGGGACAGTCAGCTTTGAACACTGTGCTTCAGTGATGGTCTCGGTCATTGCCTCCCTCAATTCTGGGTGAGGTGAGAGAGCTAAAAAAAATACCCATCAACGCCTTTTGATGCCAACTGGAACTTTTCCACCGGAGAACCCCAGAGATGAATTATGAGCACTTTATCCGACTATAAAATGGAAAATCTCTTCTCTAATTTTTCTCAGCTGAGGGCTTTTGAAGTCCGCCCCCCCAAAGCAAATCCCTTCACAGGTACAGTCAATTGATGGTTTTTCAAGGAGTCTCCCCTAAGCCCACCAGCAAAGCGTTTGTGGCTGTTGATGCCCTGGCCTCTGAATTCGGGGCATTTTCAGGGTCTCTGGGGTGGGGCGCCAGAGCGGAGCAAGCTGCGGGGGTTTCCACCTGCATGTAGGGGGCCCGCCCCCAGGCTTGGGGGCCTGCGCACAGAAGCGTCGCTGGGCCAAGCCCTAAGCCTGGAATTTGAGTGAGGCCAGTGCCTTTCCTCCCCACTCCCACCTCTGGGCTGGAGCTGGGTGAGGAGGGGACATCACCACCTGTATTGTGCAGCCATGGTGAGCAGCCACTGGGAGCCTGCCCTGCTGCTCTGTGGCCTTTGCTTCTCCTCCCTGTGGTGGGACCGTGTTTTCTCTGCCATCTAGGGCTCCTGCTACAGCCTCTGTCTCCATGGGGGCTCAAGTGGGCGCTCTGGCCCAAAGCCCAGAGGCCTGGAGAGATAGTAACTCTATCTTGCAATTGAGAAAACTGTACCAAATTTTATAACACTCAGCTAGAAACTTCTGCCCATCCGCTCAGGTCCCCAGGTGGCCCACATGGCAGGGTCCTGGGTCCTGGCTTCCAGGAAAGGTCCCCGGAAGAGAGGAGTGCCAGTTAGAGCTACTAGGAATGAGCCAGGGACCCGACTCGCCAGTTCTAGTACCCAAGACCCTGCTCGGCTCAGCAGCATGTGGGAGCCAGGAGCCTCAGCAGCAAGCCCAGACCATGTGGGTGCACGACTGGGGGAAAGTTGGTTTCATCCCCTCGCTGGGGCACCCTCTCATACCCCTCCTCTTGTTAAAGCATCAGCAAGCCAGGAAGAGCTTGATGGGCTGTGCCAGGAAGCTAAGGCGTGGGACCCCCACCTGCCTTTTCCCACCACCCAAAGGAGGTCAGCTTGGCATGGGGCCAGAGCCCATCCAGACACTGCCATTTGCCTGGTGGCCGAAAGAAAGACGAGGTGGGTGAGCTCTGGACCCCACCTCTGTGGCAAATAAGCGCGGGATTCATCCTTCACAAGGACTTAGTCTCCTTCAGCTGGTGACAACAATGCAAATTAAATGCTTGTAACAAACCATGTAACAGAAAGCTTATTTCAGATGGATGTGTTTCCTCCCTCCCTGCCCTCAGCTGTATTGATTCACAGATGCTGCTATTAGGCAGAATTTATAGGAAATTGTTTTCAAGCCACAGGAGACCTGTTTGTACAACTTGAAGGTTGTATTTATTTAATGTACCTCAAGGTGTTTTCATAATGATCAGTGTTTTAATAAAAACTATTTCTGGCCTCTGTGTCTCTGGGTCTAATTGGGACAGAGCCAGAGAGGCACCTCTGAAGCCAGGATCTCGAGCGGCCCGCGGGGAGTGAAAGACACCCCCGGCCTCCCCACCACGTCTCCCAGTATCCTTCCAGAGAAGGGCAGAGGGCAGGTGTGTGCACACATGTAGGTCCCGCCAGTGCTGGCCCAGAGCTGTCCCTCCGTGCGTGTGACATCCGAGGGTTCCAGGAGGAATGCAGGCCAATGGCTCAGAGCTCTTTCCATCTAGATTTTTTATGTGTACTATTTGGTGGGATCCCCATCCCCGTGTCACATGCTGCCCATGGATTTCCTCTCCAGAGCCTGTTCCCTGCCTTGTCTTGGACAACGCAAGCACACACCCCTGGCTCTCTCCTGAGCCAAGGCCCCTTCCCTATTCATCACCCAAGTGTGTGGGTCACATCTGGCAGGCTGTGAAGGGCCTCGTCAGTAGATCACAGCATGGAGAGTAGATCGCTTGTGCGCAAAGCAGAGGTGGGTCCCACCAGGCCAGGCTCCCCAGACCAACAAGGGGACACGCCCCCAGGCCTTCTTCTGACCAAAGCCCATGTTCATCCCTGCCTCCCTATGCCAGGGAACAGGCCACAAAAGACCCTAAAGGTAAGCAGATGCCACTGGGCTGGGTGGTCCATACAAACATGCACTCACAACTTACCTCTCCTGGAGCTCATTGAAATTTAAACCAGGAGAAGCACAAGGCTTCTTCTCCCCCTTATGAATTAGCAGCCCGTCTCCTCCCTGGGATGGGGTGGGCGAGGCGGACCTGGTGACCTGTCTCCATCACTGACCCTGTAGCCGCTGCAGGGCCAGCCCAGCCTGACACCTGGTGCCTGGAGCACCCCCCTCTCCAACCTCACCGGAAAGGAGTCCCGTAGGCCCCAGCCCCAAAGGAGATGCCCTCAGCATGCGGCACTGCTGTAGAGCTGCGCTGTGAAGCGCTGAAGGTTGAGGGAAGCCGGGCATTCATTTCTCAGTTGACAAACCAGCCATGCACACAGCTCTTATATATGACTTCAGTTTATTAGTGATATTAGCGAGTCTTCCTAAGGTCGGCTGCATGCAACACACAGGTCACTCCTTGAATACAGTAATCCTAAAGCTTTAGTTACTGCATGGTAAGGCTTCTTAAGTCACAGTGTATTCTTCAAGGCCTGGGCCAAAAAAAGAGACTTCCAGACAAAATGACGTCGGTTAACATTGACCTCGAAGGAACTGAACTAGACTACGTTTCACTGTATTTACACACGCTGTAATACTTCTCGCAGTGACACCTGGCTCGCCCAGTGATCTGTGCTCACCACTGACTGCCCCCGGAACCGCCGAGATTTCCAGGGTGGGTTTTGGCTTTGGGGGGAGGACGAGCTCGTGTGTGGATGAGTGTGTGTAGACAAGAGATTTTTAAATAGAGGGCCAATGACGTACCCCCTGTCCCTGGGAGGAAGAGCCAGCGTGCCCTGGCGGGTGAGGGGGGTCTGGGGGCAGGGGGGAAGAGGTGGCCTCGAGGAGGGGTGCCCACGGAAGCCAGCGGAGCCTCGGGGTAGGACAGGAGCGGCAGGCATGGCGACACGTCATCTGAAAACCCTGAAGTCTGAAGAATGGCTTGTCAAAGTAAAAGTCAAAACCATGAGATTATCTAAATAAATATGGAGTTTCCGTGTTGTAGCCATCATCTTTTATTTAACTCAGGAACGTCTCCCTCCTCGTTAAATACAATCACATGTTCCCGGACGTCACAAGTTACACCCCAGGAGCCGGGCCGCAGCGGCAGAATCGGCCCATTCGAGGCTCTTCAGGACTGTCAGGGTGCCCTCCCCCGAGGCACCTCTGGTCCCAGACAAGGTGCGGGGGCAGGAGGGATGGTCGCTTGCCCCCCGGAGCTTGCTGTCCTCGCAGGGCTTCCTCCAGGGCCGCATCCACAAGTGCCCACGTCCACTCTCCACGGCTTCAGGGAGGAAAGACAAACTCCACACTACACAGAGGTACAGATAAACACCCTTGTCCGTCGCAACAAGAAAACGGGTCAGAATGCAGCAAAACACTTGACTGGTCTACACAGATTGGTTCCTGTGACTCTCCTTTGATGAAGACATACCCCTTATTGTCCAAAAAAAAAAAAAAAAAGAAAAGTGGGTCGTGAGGGCACGCCCTTCAGAGGAGCCAGTGTCCTTGGGTGGGCTGTGGGGTCAGGGGTCAGGTGCTGGGTCCAGCCTTCCGGCTCCTCTGAACCCAGGTGGGCTGGTTGGTGCGGGCTGGGTGGGCCTAGATGTACAGCGGGGTCTCCTGGCCTGTGAGGAGCCTGAACATGGCGGCAGGCATGGTCTTCATGTGGATCTGTCAATGAGAGACAGGCTGAACAGGCTCCCCCTCCTTTCCCTCCCTCCCCCTGATGCAGTCAATTGAGATCACACACACCAGCCCCCCCGCTGGCCGAAGAAACCCCGAGGGTTTTCTGTGCAAAGTGCCAGCCTTCAGAGGGGAGGAAAAATTACCGCGGCCATGGAAGTTTAGAAGGCATTTCCTGACACTACAGACTCACTGGGCCTCCCTATCTGGGTCTTCAGAGGGTTTCACACAAGCTCAAGTGCTAGTTTTTTCTGCAGCTCAAGCTGACAGCAGAGGGGTGAAAAATCAGACTTTTAATTGTGACTACAGTTTGCCCACTTGGCTGGAGGCAGGCTGAGGGGCTCCCAGGCCCTGAAGCCCTTTCCATGAAGCCAAGGAAAGAGGGCTTTGGGGCCTGAGGACGTACAGAGGAGGGCCAGGGACCTCGGGCCCCTCCATCCTTTGGGAGTCAGATAGCAAATGAGTCTTCCAGGGCCTGGTGTCCCTCCCTGGCTCCAAGGGGGCCTGGGTGCACAAACAAAGGCAGAAGACGGCCCCCCAGGGAGACTGCCTTCTGGGGCACATCCCCCCAAATCCTGTGAGGGCACTGGGAGGAAGAATCAGACCTGTGGATGCACAGAGAAGGTGGTTTCTGCTCCAGCACGGCCAGCCCAGGACTGTGCCAGGCTCGGGCCCTGGGGCTCTGGGAGGTGGAGCTGGCCTGGGTGCTGCTGGCTTTACCCTCCCGTGTGCCCAGCAAGAGGTGACCTGTGGCAGAGGGGCGGGGCATGGTGTGGCCGCCCCAGAGCCGCCCTTCCTTGAGCAAGCAGGTCTCGGGCCCTTGTGTCATGTGTGACCCACCCAGAGAGGCCGAGTGTGCAGACGGTTTGTACACTGTCACCTGCTCCCTGCCCACCCCTGCCCCAGGATGTTTGATTGATTTAGATTTTAGTGTGCCCACCACCCCCAGCATGGCTTTTTCCACCAGAAGAATATTCTGCATAATTCCTCAATTTGAAACCCACTGCAAACCTCAAGTCTTGTTATCCAGGGACTAATTTTCCAAATGTGCTCAAGGATGGTGGAAAACAGGCAGATACTTCAGTCTCCCAGGCACACCCTTGGCCGCTTTTGTGCCTCTTTGAATATCAGTTCATCTCAGGTCTGAGGAGCTGAAAACATTTCTCCTTCACCTCACTGGCTTCTTCATAGATGTGGAGGCTGATTGCCACAGTGGGGTGGCCGTTTCAAACATCGGATTTTCCATTCTTGGAAGCCCCTTGTGAAAGGATGTAATGGTGCCTACCTGGCCCCTCTCCCTCTTGAGAGGCAGCCATCTGCCACCACCAATCTATGGGAAAATATGATTCCTCCCCCAGCCTGGCAGTATCACAAAATACAGAGTAGACCTGGGAATTGTGGCCAGAAGCCCCCTGGGAGACAGCACTCACCCAGGGGCCAAGCTTCACCCCCAATGGCTACCAAGAGAGAAGCCACACTCTTCTCCACATGGCCACAGAGCCTGAACCTGGCCTGCCCAGCTCTGCCCTGGGGACCCCCCAACAGCCCTCACAATTAAATGCCAACTCCCACCCAGCACCCATGTCCTTTGCAACAGGCCTCTCTCCTGACCCACCAGACACACTCGTGCTGGGTGAGGCCTCCTTCCATTTCACATACTCTAAGCACCTTACTTCTCACCCCAAATTACCCTGTTCACCTGTGAGCTCCTTGAGGAAAACTGTGCCCCTCCCCTCCGATGCCCATCAGAGCGATGCTAGGAAGAACTAGAAGAGGAGGGAGGTTGAAGCCCGAGAAACAGGGAAGGGCGCACCGGCCACGGCTGGTCTGCTCTGTGGATGGGAAGACTGCAGGAGGCAGGCAGGGCAGAGAACCCACTTCTGGGGTAGCCAGAGCCTTGTGCCCTGGAAGGAGGGTGGGGCGTCCTGAAGAGGGAAGGGCTCCCAGACTTAGCATGCACGACCAGTTCCAGAAACAGCGTCAGCCACCTTTGCCCTCCTGTTGGCTGCACAAACAGCGGGAATTAATACTCAAATTGCAGCCACTCAGCCTTGTCATAGCTACTCCCTGAGAGGGAGACCCAGCCCAGCAGCTCAGCAGGTACCCAGGGGGTGGCTCACACAGGGCAAGGTGGGAGCACATGACCAGCACAGACACACTCCAAGATCCCAGCAAGGACAGCTCTCCTGAGAAGGCAGGTTTTCCTGGGGCTGGGGGGAGGGAGAGGGACCAGTGGTTTTCCTGAGCACCTCATACAATGCCCTCAGGGCCACAGATGTTGGTCATGGAAATGCAGTAGAGCCCAGGTGGCCCTGGACTCCAGCTCTGACTCAGCAAATGACAGGCATGGCCTTACCTCTCCAACCGAGTTCGAAAGAGCCTGGACTATCTTCTCATGGGCCGTGGCCACCACACTCTGCCCGTTGATCTCAATGATGCGGTGGCCGACTCGGACGCCTCCTCGCTCTGCGATGCCCCCTCGCATGAGGCTGCAGATCTAAGCAGACACGCATTAGGTCAGCACGCAAGTCCCCGCCATACCCACAAGGAGCTCACTGCTGTCCCCAAACACGGGAGCAGGAAATCATTCACGCAGAGGGAGAAGCCCACAGGACAACTG